CAGCAGGAGCACCTCAGTGTATTATTAAAACCTTCCCGAACTTCTGGGCTAACAAAATAAGACACACAGAAGCCTGATAGTGCTGTGATCTGCAGTTTAGGAGGCAGGACTCTGTATTTACAGTACGCCCAAGTGGCTGGGTAGCTGTAAGCAATACATATCAGGGTTTGGGTTTTTTTGCTTGTAAAACAACCAGACTGCTTTGGGGATTTCTTGTTTGTTTTGATTGATGCATATTTATTCTGCACTTCTCACCCATATATTGCAGCAATTATGGTAGCCCTCAAGTCCTCTAGTACCTCGACTTATCACTGTGTGAATTAAATACAAGAGTTTCAGTTTTCAACCTACATTTCCATCTTTAGACACCCCCTCTGCACACTCACATACACCGAATACAAGGACATAAAAACTTCTCTATTCCCAGCAAAGAACAGCAGGTGTGCTTTGCTAATTCTTACCCCTTAGCCAACTACTTCCAAGTGCTAGACAACTTCAGATGTAAGAACCCCAAACACACAAACGCTCCAAGTATTAGTGAAGCCATCATATTTACTTTAGCCAAAGCTGTTTATTTTAGTAACTTTTGACTCCTGAAGACACCAACAGAAAGGTACAACCACACCACCGAACTGTCTCAGAACATTCAGCATGGACCTTGCAGAATGCACGCTCCACCTTGTCAAAAGTCACTTCTGTAGGAAACGCGTTTCCTACTGACACCCCGCAAGGATGAACCACGGAGCGTAAAGAGGCGCCCGGATCCGCGACCTGAACACTCCAGCTTTGTTTGAAAGTGAAACCAAGCAGGCTACAAATAATGCTCCATCCCGAGCGCCCCGGGAGGTGCGAAACGCAAACAAGTAGTATAAACGGAGGAAAAGTCCGGCTGAGTTTTGAAGTTTTACATTTTATTATCGGTAGCCTTATTTATAGCGCGACATTTATATACATATATCAGCGATCTGCGTTTCTTTTGCCACCTATAAAGCAGATCAAGTTCAGGCAACGAACCCCGGGTTTCCATTTATTTCAGAAAGTTCCGTAAACACCAAGCTATTTACACGAGCCAAGCCGCTGTCTACACACACACACACACAACACCCGCACGCCACACGAAACGCGCACTTTCCAGGGCATCACACGCAGCCTGCTCAGACCTTTTTCCAGCGACGAGGGCAGAGGGAAATGGCC